GTATCAGAAAACTAGTAAAATAAGCAGAAGACTGTTTTATAGTTGGGAACACAGCTTACTTTCTATTGCATATTCCTCTCTTCTATGTAAGTTGCCTCCAGCTCCCTTTTTGGCCCTTGGCGAGGGGAACCACTTTCCATGATAATGTACAAACTGATGCCATCAAAGCTCTCCCTTCAGCATCTTTCTTAAACTCTAATAAAACAATTCTCTCCCCTCCAAAAAACCAAACATCTCTCCTTTTGATCTGACTTTTAAAAGCTTACCCCCTCTCCGAAAGCATTTCCTTACAGTAGAATGCTGAATAGAACTTAGAAAATCAACAATAAATGTTAATAGTGGGTGACAGTTTCATGGAAACTGGGCATTTAATAGGCTCTAGTTACCCTCCACAAATCACTGATTATAAAGGGGAAAAAATGACTTTGTAAGCGATTTAGGTTGTTGGTGTGCCACCAGATATGATGCACTGAGGACAGTCTAAACCCAAATTGAGAGAATTTCTACAAAATAACCGTCCTTTACTCTTCAAAAATGACAAGGTCAAGGAAGGCTGAGGACCTGTTCCAGTTTAAAGGAGACTGTGAAGTCATGACAAGAAAAATGCAGCAAATAATCTGGGCCAATGGAAAAAAGTATAAAGGACATTATGGGACAACCAATGAAATATAAATATGGACAATGGATGAGACAAGATTAAATCAATGTCAATGTCATGTTTTTGATAAGTAGACATATATAGTTATGAGAATGTTCTTGGAAATACACAAGTTTTCAGGGATAAAACAGCAAGATGTCTCTAACTTTTCAGAGGACTCAGGGGAAAAAATTATATATCAAACAATACCATTGGTGGATGGCAAAAGGTATAAACTTTTTTGTACTATACTGCAAGCTTCTCCTAAGTTTGAAATTTTATTGAAATAACTATAAAAGCAGCCTGCTCATTCATACTTTGAAGAATTGAGTATCTGAAGTAGGCATTGTTTTAACACTTTAGGGCTGTTACGAACTGAACCATGTTAATACCGTAACTTCCTTAGTTATCTCAAAAATGGGTGCAAACATATAGAAGTTAGAAAATAAATTTAAAACTAATAAGTTTCTTAGTGAGGCTTATCACTTGACTTTGTAAAGTGCAAGTAAGCTGTGATCAAACTACCTGGGAAACAGATTTTTCTATATTTCTACCTCGAGGATGTGTAAGAAACTAGTAATCCTGGCTTCCTCCAAGGGGTCAAAGGTGGAATTTGTTGTATGGTATTGCCCTTTTGTATCTACCTTCTGATTTTTGAATCATGATCCCTTTCTGTTCAAAAAGTGTAAAAAGTTAATCACTTTTATTAAGTACTATCCCAATAGCCAATCTGTGGAGCTGCTCTAAGACAAATTTAAACCACCTAAATAGCTCTAGAAGACCAGTTACACAATTCTATCTACTCACCTTTTTAGTGAATAGACGCATATACCGTGCGTTCTTTTTCAAGATGTTTGCTGTCTCAGCTCAAAATTTAGCGTGAACTAGGTGCTAAATTATATAAAAATACATATTTCCATTTTGAGTGAATATTTTCATTCACGGTTATTACACCAACCAAAAGGTTACTTCTTTAATAAAAGTAAGTTGGCACTTAACCATTCTATACCTGTCCACAATTTAAAGTAGATCTCTGTACCAGCGTATTTTAAATAAAAACAAGTTGCAGAACACTACAAATGGTGTGAGTAGCTTATTGAAGGGCACAAGCTCTATGAGTAGAGAAGTCTGGGCAGACTGGGTTAATAGCAGCTACCTCAGTAAAATGGACTCTAAAGGAGAGATAATTATTCCAAGTATGTATTACTCTTGTAACTACAATCAAATCAGAACTTAAGAGAATAAAACATTCCAATTCCACAAGACAAATTGGGTACAATCACAAAAACTGGATGAAATCAGAAAACAATGCTTTCTGAAAGGTAAACATCTTACTATGTTGATCTTAAACCCATGATTCTGAGGAGCTAAAAACAAGACCTTTTCTCATATTCAAGAATGACTTGCCAATGGCAATTCCAATTGAAAAAAACCATTTGCCAAATATTTGGCACTAAGTGGGAATACACAATAAATTCAAAACAAGCCTTTCCCTCAGTTAACATTTTATTGAGGCAATAAAGCATAAAATATGTTAACAAGGTGGGAAAAAGAAGTTATCAAGAGAAAAGATTGCAACACAGAGGGGGATGTTAAGTCACAGGAGCAGGAAGGACGTCACAGGAGCAGGAAGGACTCGAACTGGCCATAAAGGCATTATGGCATGTCAACACTATCATGTGAAAAAAAAAAAGGGGGAGGGAGGGATCAAAGCATCATTCACTTCCGATTTGCCATCAGCTTTGTACTCCATCTAGCCACAGATGAACATGTGGCAAGTTGCAGAGACTCACTCTAAGTTAGCAAGGAACTGAACAATTTTATCAGTCAACTCCGTTCTCAGATGGGCCAGTGTTAGAAATATAGTGGTTTAGCATGTCCAATGTAGGTCCACAGGTGTGGAATAGAAACTAGATTTTTAATAAGTTGGTTTTTGCTATTAAAATTTTATGGGTACAGGAATTTACCTATATTATTACCCACCTAGGGGCCAGCTGACAATGCGGACAAACCTGCCTATTACCAAGTGAGGTGATCCTAACACATGAAAGCCCAGCTGAAGGATGCTGCGTGCTTCTAGAAAGCCCAGTTTCACACTGTAATACCCCAACCCCTTCATTTTAAAAGGCTACGGTTTTAAAAGCTTTTCTTCTTTCCCTGCAAACAAGAGAACTTCGGTCAAAACCAATTCTTGTTACTTGTCTTTAAACGCATTTTGAAAGGCAGCAAGTGGAGGCTTGCCTCTTTGTGTAAGAGTTGTAACTTCTGTTCTTTCGAACAGGCAAAATAATGAACTGTAATTGCAAACACCAGTTCTTCTCTCAAAATCTTAAGTTTATATTGAGAAAAAAGCCCCTCTTACTTCTCATGAATACCCTTAAAAAAAAAAAAAAAGAAAACCAAACCCCAAACCAGACTAAGTATAGAAGAAAATAAGGTCATGGAAGATGTATCAACCTTTCGGTGCACTATGGTCCTATGATTAGGCTCTTGAAATTTCATAACAGGAAGCCCCAGAATTTCTTAAAAACAAGTCTTCTTACTCATTAGCAAATATTCTGTTACACTGTCATTTTGACACCTAGATCTTCATGACCTTTTTTTTTTTAAAAAAA